TGATATTTATTTAAAAAAAAAAAATATTAGAAATAATTTCAATTTTCTCCATCACAAAAGTGTATAAAAGTTCATAAAAATTACCAAAGAAACTTTGGAAATCTTGGTGGAGATTGTCAGGAAGCCCCACCTCAATGCCTTGATGCTCCAACTTTTGCATAATTCTTCTAAAATATGCCTCAGAATAGACTAGTCATGGTAATTTATTAAAGAAAAACAAGATTAATATTGTAGTTTGTTTTTAGCCTAGAAAAGGGGGTGGACTCGACTAGTGTTTAACACTATTTTCCAGCCTCCTATTCACTATGTATTTCAGTGTTGTTTGCATTGTATTCTTTTATCAATATTGCCTGTAAATTAAGTGAATAAATTCAATTCAATTCATAAGTCTGAAGCATTTTTACAAATTTTAGCTTTGATATTTGGTGTCCTCAGAATACCAAATACAATACATACGAATTTCTATATGAAGATTTACAAATAATTTCAAATTTTAAGTATTGAAATGAGGAGAATCGTTTGTTTAGCTTAACACAGTTGAACTTTGATCAACCAATATATTCTGTTATCTGAGACCCTGATAAAAACTGGAAATGAAAATGTCAGTTCTCATTTCCTTGTCCGAATCAAGATAAAACAATGTTTATGCCACTGTACAATTTATTTCTCGTTAAACTGTGATTTGGTAAGTTTGATGGATGAATTAAGGGAAACATAGGTTTTGTATTAGTGTAAAGGTCAATATGTTCAGATTGATTGAGGTGATACATCTGTCATTCGATATTTAAATGATTTTAAGTTGAAATGAAATTGAACTACCAGCCACTGTTGGCAGGCATGTCTACATAATACCAGAGTTTTAATAATATGACCTGTGCCTCGGTGATACTGCTGCTGTACTGAATTCGTGCATACTTTTCGGTATACTCGTAATAACCTTATTGTTATACATCTTTTTCTCTCAAGGATACATCATGAATGCGGAAATACAAAAAGTTTAGAATAGATTGAGCAAACTTCTTTGTATGGGGTCCGGTCAATCTCTGGGGGCTGCCATGTTTGTTTTTATTATTAGAGGACACTTATTTGGAATTCGCAGTAACTTATGGTGACAAATGTATATTAACTACATTTACAATAATCATAAAGGTTCAGTATATTAATGCAAACAGAAATACACTATTATAGATTATTAATTGTCAGTAATTACTGAATGTGTAAAATAAATAAACATGGTTTGACAGTGTACTGTTCTATCAATCTGATGCACTTTAGCAAATTTCTACAGATTTATCACTACTAACTACAAAAAAAAGTAGCAAATAAAACAGATACTACATTAAATTGTTGATATTCTGTTGAGCAGTAGCCTACTGTAGGTTACATAACACAAACGATAATTAGCAAAATTAGCAGAACATTGGATAATGGGGAAAAAGTTATGCAGAATTATTTTGTGAAAAGGAACTAATTGGTGAAGTGGACAGTGTTGTCATAACTGCATCATGGGTAGGCACATGTTGAAGTCCTGTTTACATAGCAACCAATCAAAGGTCTGCTAAAGTCATTTTACTGGAAAGGTAAGTAGAATAATTGGGCAAACCAAAGTAATTTTTGGGTTTGGCCTTACTTCAAGGCTTGATGTGATATAGTTTTACAAATAATTTATTGATACAACACCATATCAACGTTATACAACAATATGATCATTAATTATAATTATCAACAACATTAAAAATGGAATATAGATAATGTGCAAAATCTACTATAAGTTTAATGCATTTAATAAATATATAAATTTGCATTCTTGACCAAGTTTATTAAACTCTGAAGAAAATGTTATCTATATGTTAAAATCTCTGAATTTGAGTAATTCATAATGCAATGATTTTTCTGATAATTTTATTTTAGTCACATTTTATTTTGCTTTGTTTTATTTTGTCACATTTTATATATGTAACCATGAGCAGTTTTACTATGTTCTTGCTGGAGCGTTGTAGGTAAACAAACATCAACTAGAAGAACAGTAATAGAATATAATACTACATACATACAGAGGTTTTGATGGCAGTGTCCTTTTAACCTTTTCTTTCCCATTAACTTTTGTCACCTTCACTGTTCAAAAAATGTTTGTTTTCGTGAAGAATGAAAAAAAATCATCAATCAAAACCCCTTCTCAAAATCAATACTGAATTCAAAAATAAATACAGCAAAAAAATATGTCAGTCTATAGTAAGAAAGGATTCATTTTCACATCAGACTATTTGAACTGTATTACATATTACCATTGTAACAACAGATTAAATTACTGCACCAATTATTTAAGAATCTATACTGTCCTACTCGAATGGAACTTTTGCCTGATCTGACGCAAGGACTTGATATGTATGTATATATTGACACAAGCGAATACTTTAGCTCAATTTGTTGAACTGTTTCACCTAACCCATTAACAACCATTTTGATGTACTGATTCTGTTGTACAGTTGCCGACTCACTTTTAAAGGGGAACCTTCCAAACCTTGGGATTGCACCAAAGAATCATGGGACACTATTGCTTATATTGTTTACAATGTTAATATATCTTTTGTTATCCATTGTAATTTTAATCCAGAAAGTAACTTTGTTCTCAGATTAGGCTTAACTGGAAGTGCCCATTTAAGATCCACATGTATTTAGTAATGTGACAAAAGCTCCAATTTAGTCACACTTAATTTTATGATTTAATTTTAAAAGTTCTGGGTTCTCTGGTTGCTTTATAACTATAGTGAGGGAGGGGTCAAATGTCACAAGCAGATATATCTTTGTACAAGCTTCAGTTCTGCTCCTACCATATTGATTCTATATTTGTAAGTTTCAGAAATTGTCGTAAAATATGGAATACAAAACATAATTCGTATGAAAATGGATAAGGTATAACTTTCTATACATCTTTTATTCAAACATACATTTCTACGATATTTCTGCAAAACAGTATGTGTCTATTCATGAAAAAAATGAGGCAAATCAAGAACGATTTGTTATAAAATTTACTTTTTTTGTTTTTTTCATGAGCTCTAAACTCTTATAATAAGAGCCATTCTGTCTTGAGCACAAACAAAAGTTTTTTTTGTGAAAAGTGACAAGAAAGTTAAAACACAGCCAATTTAGTCCAACTCTGATAACAAAGAGTTAACATGAACATGTACTACCGGGTAGTATACATATTATAAAAACACACATAAACTGTCATTAGTTGTTCATGGCAAAGCCTCACACAACATTCAAACAAGCATAGTGGCTGTGAAAAGAGACAGAGCATTTGTAGTCAGTGTACAATAAAACATTATTAGCAATAATCAGTGAACACATAGGTCAGGCTGGTACCACAATACAACAAAAGGTATGGAGTCATGATGAAGGTGAATCAAAGTATTCAGTAATTTGCACCTTCAGTGTTTGTATGATCAAGTTTCACAAACAACTTCATGTAAACTTTAATTTCACAAGAGAGAAATTTATCAATTTCGCGATTCCAGAAAAACTAGCCACAATGGCACAAATTATTTTACGCTCTGTAGTTGAAGCCTGGTGATAACTTGTTGAGTACTCTAAAAGTTAAAGTTTAATAGAATAAAAAAAAAGTTATGGTGCAGTCCATGGGATTAACAAGTTTGCTTTTAAATGAAAAAATGAGGTTAACGTAACGTATGATCTAATTCCATAACAGTAATGGTAGTGTAATTTGATGGAGTAACTTTTTTGTATTTGTTAGACATTTTATGACCAAAAGGTCAGAGGGTATGTGATTTTCAATATACAAGGCACATGTTCTGTTGTCATAGTAAGTGACAAAACACAAAACAAACCAACAACAAAATAAAACCAGCTAATATCGGTTGAAGAGTTATGCATGTCAAACCCAACAAACATTGTGAGTTTGTTGACTGTTAAAGCCAAAAATTGCACAACTTTATATACCGTGTCTGTTTCATCAGCTGCTGGAAAACTGTTCAAACAGCGAACAGGGGCAATGGGGTGTAACGCCAATTCAATGGGGTTATTTCATGAAAAATCACTGAAGCATGTTGGGCAGCGTGAAACCGAGTATAGTATATTGATTCAATTATTCACACCAGAATTTCTAACTCAAATTACAATTATTTATACCAAAACTTATGAATTAAATTTCAATACTGTAGTTTAAATTTTTTTTAATATTACTGCAGAAAATAAATATAAAATATGTGGACGAAAATAAAATGAAGAAAAAAATAAAACATTTAATATCTTTTTTCTCCAAATACGCGACTCATTTTCCTGCTTACTTTTCTGTTCCTATGAAGGTGTCTGAATAAACACACTGTCCTTGATGAAGAAAGAACTATTGTGTTTTGAGCTCAGTGGCAAAACAGTTACCTGGAGTAGGAACAACTGACATGCAACCAAGCACGATCTGTCACACAAATAAATGTGTGGGCACATCAGGATGTGGTGTGAATTTATTAGTTTTTTTTATCTTTGGGCATAGTCTGACGTTTCACCTTATCAACTACATTATACAATGAATGTCCTACAACAGGCTTGGTACTCTGTAATCGACTGGTACAATGATAGTTTTGAGGCACGTCAACATTCAATATTGATTAAACACTAGATGTTTTCTACTTAATTTTATGGCATACCATGTTTACGTGAAAGACTCAATTCAGTAACGGTAATTTGTTCTGATCGCAATGAGTTTAATATTTCATATTTAATTTATCTCGTATAACGAGGTGTCCATCTAACCCTGGTACCGACATACCACAATCTCAACTACTAGGACCCACAAGTCGAGTCTGCCCGTCGGACCGGCAGCACCGATACAATCGAGCCACTCGCCGGTCAACCTCACTGTTGTCAACAATTGCTGAATCTGAATGTGTATGTCGTTGCTACCACCAGCCTGCGTCGTTGAACCAGTGACTCGACAGTCTGGCTATTTCAGGGTAAATATTACGACATCTAGTTCTGCTTACCTGTTTCACAGGGACTATCCGAATGAGGACTCGTCGATTTCGATGAACTTTTCTTTAACGCCAGGTCGTCGTGTGGTTTCGTCTTTTGCTTACTTTTTCGCCGTTTCTTGCCAGTTTTCTTTAATAAATCTCCCCCACTGGAGGTATTCGTGGCTTTTTTCTTTGTCTGTGTCTTACTGTCCATTTTTACGAGATATTATTTGACACTTTTACCAATAGAACCAGTCATAGTCGCTTCGCCAGTCAGCGCAGTTGACTTCACATGCAACAGGTGCGACGGAGAACGCATTTACATAACATCAACCTACGCGATATGTAGTCCCTATTTGTTAACTTGTAATATATTCATATACAAATTAATAATTATTATAATTACATTTATTTTAATATATACACGCCGTGTAGATGAATGAATATTATTCATAACCATATTTTTTTCAAAAATCAAAAATATATTTCACATAAGCGGATGAATATTTCTGAGAATGACTAAAAGTGATTGAAACTTTTATTTTGAAGGAAGCTGTATATTATTTTAAAAATGTACCTAATTTTCCAGTCGCCTTTCACAAAAACAACCCAAAGATAATGTAATATTTGTTGGTTTCTTCATGTATTTCTTATTTTATACTATTCGTAATTTGACTTCCACCCCTGAGGGCGCTCACCCGCGAAATTCAAACATGGCGGCGTTCGCGGAATGACGACATTTCACGTTTTTTGAAAATCATGAATTGGCAAATTACAGCAATGGTATGAAAGGACACTTCTGTATAGTCATCGTCAAGTGAATATTTATAAAAATGGGTAGGTACTTAGAAGATTGTTTATCGTGATTCACTGAAATGTTGAGCAACTTGTCTTACAATCGAGCGCTTACTTCGAAGACGACCATCTCAGTCCGAGCAGCGTTTATTTATTTATAAACATCTCAGTGACAGGAGTTTAATTATGGTTGTCGTTGTTGTGGTGTGGAACACAGTGTTGAGGGACTGTGTGTGGAAAGACTTTCACGTCTAATACTAACTCGAACCCAACGCCTACCATCTATTGACTCCTCAAATTAATTGTACATATTCCTAGAGTAGATTAGACCATGGAGGTAGAAAAGAGAACTTTCTACCTCCATGATTAGACGTTGGAAAGTCTTTTCACATCACAACAAGAACCATAATATTATGGAAAGTCTTGTCCGTCAAGGTTACTTGTCTTTTGTTGATACATATATTGAATGCGATTACAAGTCGTTTGGACTCCTCGCCGTTTCGACCTGTGAACGATTAGACTTCTGGACGTTTTGACCCCTCGACGGTAGAACACCTTGACATCACAATACTCAACATTTGGGCCCACCTTTAGTGGTAAAAAGCAGCAATACTTTACTGTATAAAACTATAATAAAATCGAGAATTACGGTGACCAATCAACACTAGAGCCCCTTGACGTCACAACCCCAAACGTTTTGACCCACCATTATTACCAATATGAATACTGTCTGGTCAAAAGCAGCAACCTTTTTACTGTATCGAACTAGTTAATATCTAAAATTAGCAACAGAGTCTGAAATTATGGTGGTTATCTACTCATTTTCTGATCAAAAACTGGGCTTTGAGGAGAGTTCAGTCTGCAGTGAAATAAGAAAAAACCTACCATAATACATGTAGTGGGAAAAAAGTGAGCAATTGATCAATTTTCTCCTGCCAGGTGTAATATGCAGTGTTCAGTACTTGTGTAAAAAAGTTGATGGCCGTCAGAACCAGAAGGTATTGGCTCTGCTTGAATGAACACAAAATAAAAATGTGTAGTTTTGATGATCATTTGTTGCCTTAAATGTTTGTCACATTGAACAGTTTCATCATATTTACGGCCATCAAAAAACTACTAAACAAGTAGCCTCACAGCTCTGCTGTTAGCAATGCACATTTCAATTAAAGAATTGAAGATATCATCACAAGACTAAAAAAAAAAAAGCTAAGAAAGGTCTACCCAAGGTACAAATACACCAAGTATCGAAGCAATCAGGCTTGTAGTTTTCAAGAAGAAGACAAAAAAGTTGACACAGACGTTCTATGACTCGTATGATAAGCTGTGCTCGAAAAAGTTGACAGCAGAGCTAAAAGTCTGCCTTAGTTTTGAACACTGGACATGTGGTATGTGCACAGTCCTGTGTGTCCCAGGGTAACATTTTGTTGTTTATATGTCAATAGTGGCATGTCCTTGCAATAAAAAAGTAGAAGATTTAACCTTTATCTGGTCACTGAGTTAAAGGGGAGCAGAGGTGTGGCTTGTGAAACTCTGTACATGAAATTTGAGATCTATGAATGAATTCTGTCAATAAAAATAACTTGTATGTGCTGCGAAATGCCTTAAATATTGGGTATAAAACGGGCT